GCCGGCAGGTGACGTGGTGGTTAAAAGTGCTGGATTCCCACAGGTTTGAGTTCCAAACCTGGTGGCTTGCTTTCCACTTTCTCTCTTTCTCTCCCTGGTCAAATGAAAACAAATCTTAAAAACAAATCAGACAGGCCGTTCTAAGGTTTCCATTTAGAAATCACAGCTCTTGGTGATAGCTTTAAAGATGGGCCATTTGCCCCATCCCTCCCTTTGAGCTGGCTTCACTCAAATGGATTTTGAGGGTACTGTCTGCCTGGTCAGGCCCAGTTTTGTACCTCCAGTGTTTCCTGGACTAAGCACAGTGTACGAGTTGTCAGGGGTTGATGAACAGGTTCACCTCTGTGCTAGAGATCACTGTCCACCTGACTACTCAGAGGGCTTCCACTGTCACAGAGAATGATTACCTGAGGCCAAAGGGGAAACCAAGACCAGGCTTCTCCTCAAGAGCTATATGACAAGGCCTAGGTTGGAACATCCACAATAACTAGCCTGACCTTGGCTCTCTGGACAGCCCAGCCCAGGCTGTATGCTCATCTCGTTGCAGTAACTGACTGACTTGGGGTGATCAGACGTGGTGCCCGGCAGCTGCCTCACCAGCACAAGACTTCCTAGGGAGCAAGATGGATGCTGTAAGGGTCCCAAGGCTGGCCTTTATTCAAGGGAAAGGGACACACAATGACATTAACACAAGAAGCCAGGTCATTAGGGAAATCTTGGTAAGACTAGCTACCACAGACTGAAAGCCAACCACGAGAAAAGGGACTACGTCTGTGTATACACCACTGCATCTCCAGAGCTTCAACCATGGTCTGCCACTTAGAAAGCACTCAATTCCACAGGGTGGATGAATGAATAAATGATGTAAACATGAGATGATTGTCATAGATCAAGATTTGGGAATTTGCCAAGACCACAGATTCTTAGAGAGCAGGAGAAATAAATGTTTACAACTGGTATTAGTCTCTAAAGGGACACACATTCTGTCAATTCGTACAACTGGTTACATGGAGACTGAACTCCATTTTAGCCTTGCACAGATCTTGCACAGCAGCATCTACTGGCGATATCTGGTATTGCACCCTGGCTCCCTTGGCAGTTGTGGACCTCCAGGAGAATTGGGTTTGGGAATAAAGAATTCACTGCCAGTGTGCACTCTCAGGGAAAGACAGCAATGGATGAAGGCAGAGGTGGGAAAAGGGTCCTGGAATTGCAGCACAGGGTTCTCTTACTACACTGCTATATGTCTCACGATAATCTTTTTGTCTGAATTTTCTGCTGGGTTTAGTTGGACAGTTTTTTTCTTAGCTTTTTGTTTGTTTGTTTGTTTTGGACCAGAGGACACTCACTGGAGTGAGATAGAGAGAGGGAAGATGAGAAATCACCCCTCCATGGGACCAGCAGATGGCACAGTGGTTATGTTGCTGGACTCTGACATGTCAACCACAGTTTGAATCCTAGATCCGGCGGCTTAAAACTCACATCAGGCTCATGTGCTTATATGACCAAAATCCCGAGAGGAGAATGGAGGACAAGGGATTTTGATGTGGCCATCCCCTCTGGGGGGTTATATCTCGCTTTCTATCTTTCTCTGTCTCTCCAGCAAGCACATGCACCCTATAGCAAAAATCTCTCTTAAAAAAGAGAGAGTGAGAGGGTGAGAGAGAAATAACCCCTCCAATGGGCATGGCCACACATCAGTTCCTTCCCCTCCATTCTTCTCTTTGGATTTGGGGCACACACACAAACACACACGTGCCCAGCATGATTTTGAATCTGCCAGGTCTGGGATTCAAACCACAGAGTCGCCCATGTGGGAGGCCAGCGCCTTAACATTACTCCACCTGCTGGTCCCTAGAGGATATTTTTACTATGATTTTTTTTTTAAAAATGGAAGTCAATTGAAAAAAATGGGATTTTCATAAGTATTTTTAAATCATGCTGTTTATTAAAGAACAAATACTTTCAAGCGGAATGTGATAAACCACAGACACTAAAATTGTGTGGGAGATAAGGCTTGTTGCATGGTCAGAGCAGAGACATGACGCCTGCAGCACTTTCTACTGACCAGGTTCACTGACTCTGAGTCACAGCGAACACTGACTTCACCATCTCTGACCCAGAAGAACTAGGCAGTTCACTTCTCTTGGGTAAAGGTCGTGCCTTGGTTTCGATTAGTTCCTTGTAAACTGAAATGGAAAAGTGCCTAGCTACTGTCATACGAAGTTTGTTTCTTAGCTCTCAATATGCAGGAAACAACAGTTCCCACCTATGGAGTAGTCTCAGGGATGTGGGAAGGCAGGCGGTCAGGGCAGGAAGGGAGTGCCAGGCCAGTCCTGTTCACCCTCAGCACAGAACAGGGACATGGCCATCTCCCCCAGTGTGGGTACCTCTGCTCTTCCCAGCATTGGCAGAAGTTAAAGTTCAGGCCCTCAGGCAAACACTTCAGAGAGAGCTCCCAGGTTAACGAATTCTACTCCCAACATCCTGCCAGGGAAAAATTAGGGCAAGTGCCCCAGGTCTGCCCCAGGGCACGAAAGAATGTGGAAGGGGGAAAAATCTTACAAGATCATGCAAAATTTCTAGCCTCCTCACTCATCAGCTCACCTTGCTGCGTTTCCCCAGCCCTGTTCTAAGGGGCCTCCATCTGGCGAACACAGAGTCCCAGGGGAGAGTCTCACTGCTCAAGTCTGACCTATTGACCAATAGCATGGCTGTCACCCGGGTGATATGAGAAATGCAGGGTCTGAGCCCCACCGTGCACTTCCGTATGGGAACCTCCACTTCAGCAAGTCTTAGTGATTCACAGGCAAAATAAAGTTTGGGGGGCACTGGTCCTGGGCAAGGATGGTCCTCCTGTTTTCATGCTGACCCTCCTTTCTGCTGTGATTGGCCAACTTGGGGCTCTTCTTCCTGAGATATAAAAGCTCCTCTTCCTGCTG